AAGCAATGTCGAAATCAACGTACTGGGTAAAGGATTAGAATTTGTACCCTCTTCATTTAAAGTGAATGAAATGGATTTGAGAGAGGATTTCCAAGGGTGAATGAAATGGATTTGAGAGAGGATTTCCAAGTCGAAGAATGAGGTGTAAGTGGCGGCATTTTAAAGATAATGTAACGCAGGACTTTAGCGAAATTCCAGCTTTTTGCCCTAAATCGACCTGGACGCCACCAGAGGGCTGTCCAGCGTTATAATTATTTCTTAGTCAAATTGAAAAATAATTACTTGAATATGTTCCCTTAAAAACTTTATGGAAGCATAATTTAAACAAAGACGAGTGGCAAATACGGCTGAAAACGTTGATAGAAGACAATGGTGTCATTATTAAACCGGCGGACAAGGGATCGTGTGTGGTTGTCTGGGATCGAGACGATTACTTAGCGGAAGGATATTTACAACTCGGAAATGATAAAATTTATACTAAGGTTGAGAATTTTGCGGATGAAAAATTGGGTAATTTAGTGGGAGAAAGTAATGAAATGTTTCAAGATTTATATGATCAGGGTAGTATTTCTAAAGATATTTCATACGAGTATAAAAACTCGGGTTCATTAGGTCGGTTATATATTTTACCCAAAATTCATAGGAGACTTAGTAATGTACCTGGACGTACCGTGATCTCTAATTGCGGAACTTGCACTGAGAAAGCTTCAGAATTTTTAGATCATCATCTGAAGCCCATTATGAAAACTGGTAAGTCCTACATTAGAGATACAGGACACTTCCTGGAGAAACTTAAAGAAATTGGAAAGGTACCCGAAAATGTTTTATGAGTTACCGCTGATGTTACGAGTCTTTACCCCAGCATCGCACACGATGATGGTCTACGCGCTCTATATGCCAAATTAGAGGAACGTAAGGATAAGAAAGTGCCGTCAGAAAATCTGACTAAAATGGCGGAGTTTGTTTTAAAAAACTATTTCGAGTTTGACGGTGATATTTACTGTCAAAATTCCGGTACGGCTATGGGAACTAAATTCGCTCCACCATATGCATGTATTTTCATGGATATGGTTGAGACTGATTTTTTACATAAATGTCCAATACTGACGATCGGTATCCGATCGACAAAGCAGTCTTACAGACGGTACGGATGGATCCACCGGACAATCTTGTTTACCGTCGGACAATATTTTACCGATGGCTGCCCAAAAGCAAATAAACGCCTGCTGCGCAGATCACTGCGTGAGTGTCTCGGGTTGCACTGCAAGTTCATTGTGCGATGTGTGAATGTCGAATGGTCCGATCGATCGATCCGATCCATCGGACAAACGTTTTCGCGGTCCGACAACTATTTTACCGATGGCAAAAAGGGACGCCAAAGAAACAAGTATATGTTCTATATTCCCTTGTTCTTTACAATAATCTTCGTCTTTAAAAACATAATTTTACATGCCAAACAACCTTAGTACATGAATTATAACATCAAACTGAGTTATTATAATATATATTATTCCAATGAAGCTCAGAACACGAATGATTTTAAATACATGATGTTGCGTCGTTCTTTACAAACCTTATCATGATATTACATGCCAAACAACCTTAGTACATGAATTATAACATCAAACTGAATTATTATAATATATATGCCAATCAAGCTAAGAACACGAATGATTTTAAATACATGATGTTGCGTCGTTCTTTAGAAACCTTATCATAATATTATATACATGCCAAACAACCTTAGTACATGAATTATAACTTCAAACTGAATTATTATAATATATATTCCAATGAAGCTCAGAACACGAATGATTTTAAATACATGATGTTCCGTCGTTCTTTAGAAACTTTATAATATTACATGCCAAACAACCTTAGTGCATGAATTATAACATCAAACTGCATTATTATAATATATGCCAATCAAGCTCAGAACACGAATGGTTTTAAATACATGATGTTGCGTCGTTCTTTAGAAACCTTATCATGATATTACATGCCAAACAACCTTAGTACATGAATTATAACATCAAACTGAATTATTATAATATATGCCAATCAAGCTCAGAACACGAATGATTTTAAATACATGATGTTGCGTCGTTCTTTAGAAACCTTATCATGATATTACATGCCAAACAACCTTAGTACATGAATTATAACATCAAACTGAATTATTATAATATATGCCAACCAAGCTCAGAACACGAATGATTTTAAATACATGATGTTCCGTCGTTCTTTAGAAACCTTATCATCATTTTACATGCCAAACAACCTTAGTACATGAATTATAACATGAAACTGAATTTTTTATAAGAAAATATGGAGATAGTGTAGCTAGGTTTACACATAACTAAAAGTAAACGTTGTCTGACTAAGATTTTTATTTAAACGACGTTTCGCGACTACCTAACTGTAGTCTTGGGCGGGTAAAGCGGAATGAATGAATTACAAGAGTGCATGTGTCAGGTGATATTATAACAATAAGTGATTGGTGTGATAATTATAGCGTCTAGCCATGACATTTTTTATTAACCACCATAGCACTTCATATTGTTTAGGAAGCGACTTACAATTATTTTCATAATTTATTATTATAGCAGTATGCCAAGATTCTAGTAATGTTTTACGTGTCCGATACTTGCCACTATCAATTACTTTCCCATTATAGTCTAGGACCTGTATATGAGTTTGTATGCGATTCATTTAGGACAGGTAATCTCAACTGTTTTAGGGTAAAATGACCATGGCGGTCAACATGGAATATGTGCGAAAACCTGAATCCGGGGCGAAAGTCCTGAAAATGACCCTGCCCTGAAACGGCAGTGTCGACATAGCTCTAACTTCCGAAAAGGAAAAGCGATAGCCTTTCTGAAGTGCTTATAGTGTTTATAGTGTTTAGAAGAGTTGCTTTTAGGGGTGGTCATTGGAAGGAAAAATTTGTCGAAGTATAATATTTTACCAGAAAATGACTATGCACCACCCCAGGTAAATTGCTGATTATGCACAAAATAACTAATATGCCTGGCAGAAATTAAATATTCTTATTTCCTAAAAAAAATTATCATGGGTTGAAAAACTATGCTTAATTTAATATAAATATTGTTGATTTCATAAGGATTGTCATTGTTTTCTTTAAATATAATACATTTTATTTCACTTACCCCCCACGAAAACACGACTTCAGCCATATTTTGCCGTCTTGTTTGCTTTTTATCGCTGAATCTCGCAAATAAACTAAATACATTGTATTTATTGTATTTTTATGATTTATGACAAAACTACGCAAATATTTATTGTTTTTATTATAAATCATAAAAATACAATAAATACAATATATTTAGTTATGTTTCTGTGGTGGCGAACATATTCGTGAAAATATTCAACCCCCCTGTCATGTGTCCACGAGAAGTTTTCGCGAAGATTGCGCGTGACTTTCAAATGATTTGTTTTTATTTTGAACCTAAATTGTATACGGGAGGATTTTTCCTTTCTAATGGGACAAATGTTGCCAATTTTTGGATATATTGGGACTATTCTACAATGAAGTACTCTTGGATACTGTAATCTAAATATATATGGAAACGAAGAAGTTGCATTTATCAGACAGACATTAAAATGGCCATTAAAATGGCGGCAATTTGGCGGAATATCGAAGGACACAATATCGAAGGTAAAATACACTGCACTGTTACAAAAGTGGATGAAACCTTCTTTGAAATCTTCTTCAGCCATTTATGATTATGTAAAAGTACAAGAACTGGATGATATTTGCGAGATTCGGCGATAAAAAGCAAACAAGACGGCAAAATATGGCTGAAATCGTGTTTTCGTGGGGGGTAAGTGAAATAAAATGTATTATATTTAAAGAAAACAATGACAATCCTTATGAAATCAACAATATTTATATTAAATTAAGCATAGTTTTTCACCCCATGATAATTTTTTTTAGGAAATAAGAATATTTAATTTCTGCCAGGCATATTAGTTATTTTGTGCATAATCAGCAATTTACCTGGGGTGGTGCATAGTCATTTTCTGGTAATATATTATACTTCGACAAATTTTTCCTTCCAATGACCACCCCTAAAAGCAACCCTTCTAAACACTATAAGCACTTCAGAAAGGCTATCGCTTTTCCTTTTCGGAAGTTAGAGCTATGTCGACACTGCCGTTTCAGGGCGGGGTCATTTTCAGGACTTTCGTCCCGGATTCAGGTTTTCGCACATATGCCATGTTGACCGCCATGGTCATTTTACCCTAAAACAGTTGAGATTACCTGTCCTAAATGAATCGCATACAAACTCATATACAGGTCCTAGACTATTATGAAAATCAATTATAAGTAATTACACGATCCATATATTCATTTGTTATATAGTAGAGAGCATGAGATACTGAAAAATACACAGTAACATAATATATTTTCCATATCTTCACTAGTGAAGGTTTCGATCACGTGACTTTTGTATTTATGCAATTTCTTGCTTGATCATGACACTATATAATAAACAAGGGCCGGTTGTATAAAACTCCTAATCACTTTTTGTATCTGCGCGTAGCGCAGATATATTGCTATCGCGTCAGTCAGTAAAGTAAAGTAAAGTTAAGTTAGTAAGTTAAGTTAAGTTGTTAACTTGTTAAGTCCGTCAGCCTTGTTTTGAAGACCTGTTCGCAGGCTAGAACAGCTTTAAAACAAGATGGCGTCTTTCGAAAAGCTTTCAAGAGAAGTATTAGTATTATCGTGGTATTAATAGACTTTATCCTGACTTTATTTTGATAAAATCTTCTTCTATAGCAGTCTTGGACTGATATAACTCTTACAGTCAAACCGGATGTTCTGTTCCCATGAGTATTGCAACATCGCAATCAATCTTGCAATGTTGATTGCAAATTGTTCCGAGCAAATTACACGCAAGTATGCAACTGTCATTTTTTCAAGTTCCTATCACTCCCGTGTTGGGTCAAGAGAATAACAAATCAAAAGGACTAATATCTTGCCTACCACTTGACAAATTAAAGGTAAACTGGAATGTATAGAGAATATTTATACATGGTTGTGCGGAAATATGTAATTTATTTCGAGTGTTGAACTGAGAATATTGCTAACGAGTGAGCGTAGCAAATTGCAAGTTGTTCCATTATGTGATTTAATAATGTAAATTTTTGAGTAATTAGGTCATGGACATATTGTAATTATTATGAGTATTTACTATTTTATCTTCGTATCAAACCAAATATATAGCATTGCGAGCTTTACTGTATTAAATTGCCAATTGGTATTAAACTGTGCCAGTTTGAGAACATATTATGTGTACATATTTAATTTAACTACCGCCAAATAAATCCCTTTTTGGCACTGAATTTTGCATGTTATTTAGTATTTTTGTATCACGTTATGATTAAAATGGACATATTTCTTGAATAATACTTTTAATCTGTCAAATGATAGGAAAAATATTAGTCCTCATACTTTGTTTTGGATTTGTTACATTTTGTGATAGATAGGGGTACCAAAGCCTTGGTATTTCCAGAGGGTATTAAAATACAAAATTAGCCTGTGACAGTATGCTCCTGATTTTACTTCATATTCGATTTGAACAACACAAGTTCTACAACAAAAACGTACACGATGTACTGTGCAAATATAAAACGTCATATTTATAGAATGATATTTGATTGACATGTTTAGATGTTTACGCCACGCATTTCATACCGCACGGGTTTTCCCTGAGTTTTTATAATCAGGGCTTGCATTTCCGGCAATTGTTTTATGGTTGAATCTTCACGAAACAATTACAAA